TTGGACGAGGGATCGGCCCGTCGCAAGGCCTCTACCTGTACACAGGACAGCACAACACAGAAAAACGCGGACAAACATCCATGGCTTGAGTGGGATTCGAACCCACGGTCCCAGCGATCAAGCGGCACAAGGCCCACGCCTCAGACCGAGTGACCACTACGGACCCTCCCTTTTAAATACATTTAACCTTTATTGGCCATGCATTATTCTAACATATCACTAAAATGTTAAGTCCCCCGTCCCCTACAACAACGTTAACATCCCTTTGACCTTCTGGCATGCACGGAATGAACTCCTGAGGGAGAAGCAGGGTGCAAACAGCGACAGAGCATTAATGACAATCGCGCCCGGGAAAGACGACCTACAACTTACCACCGTGTAAGATTTGGGGTTCTCGCGCCGGCGAGTCTGAAGATCGCTGTCTTCTGGGTCGTTGCACCCCGTAGTCCGGCAGAGTCCACCAGACTACGGGGCGCAACGACCCAGAAGACAGCGGTCTTCAGCTTACGACAAACTCGAAGCTGTGATGGGTGCCTGACATTCCCAGCTTTCGCGAAGGTTCGGCTACGTCAGATGCGACGCGGAAGATACACAGGAAAATTTAGCTGTACCGGATCAAACCAGCATCAAACATAAGACCGTTGGCGCCAGCGTTTAAACATAGGTACACGTGAAAATAAACAAGTCTTGCGTCTTTTAAAATATTTATACTTTTAATTACATTCGTCAGTGTTGAACTTTTGTTCATAACAACTATAAATGTTCTCAAGAGGTGGGTAACTACACAGGGTCCGGTGGAGGGCTTTGGTTAGTTCGGTGATGAACCTTCGGGTTCCGAAAGCCATCTGGTCAGCTAATTACTTGGTTACGTTAATGACTTAATAAATATTAAAGTCTCACCTTGAAACAAATAGTCTTCCGTATTCTGGTCAGGGTTTTCTGAGGCACCAGCAATGTCAAAGGGGCTTCTCCCAGCCAACATTTCATACAGTAGCACCCCCAGAGCCCACCAGTCAACACTGCAAACACAGATCAAATAATCTGAACTATCATTCCTGTACAAAAATTAAATTGTCAACCATACCACTACAAGGCACAAAATTTTGGTTGGCAAGCCTGAAGGAAAGAGA